CCCTACACCGATATTAATCCCTGATCATTTTAGTGTAATTTCTATTACATTATTCTTATATAGTAGATGATTCGTTCTGCATTTGTTGTTCCAGTACTAATGTTGGTATTTTTCTTTCAACAACTTCTTTTTTTTTAATATCTTTAAGCAGATCCTGCGGCATTCTGTTGAAAAGTTTGCTACATATTTTGTTTTATTTTATAAGATGAGGAGCACCTGCTTTAATTTTTCTTGATTATCATTAATACATATTTTCATTAACCTGTATCTACGATCTTATATATTTCAGAGAATATAAACATTCTTGGAACAACGCATTTACGATCAAAAAAAAAAAAAGAAAAATTAGAAGAACATTTCTAAAAAAAATACCTCATTATGTATTTAAATATTTTAATTAATTCTGTAAAAAATATTGGTCGGTCCATTTACTTAAAATAAATTATTTTTTATAGTTATAGAAACAACTTTGCGCCGTTTTTTTTTAATTGTTTGTTCTTGACATTTTGTGTTTTGTTTCTGTGTTAATTATATACAGGAAATAAAATTAATCGAACTAATTTAAAGATAAGCGTGTATTGCAAGAATCATAAAAACAGTTCTAGATATAAAATAGATACAGGTATTACTAGTTTTTTCTTATTTGATAACATAAAGTATTCGAAAAAATAAATAATGCAGAAATTCAATATTGTAATAAATTATTATTTTTTGATTGCCGACTTGTTTAAAACAATTACAGTACATATCTATATTATTTGCAACGTTTGCTGACAATAGATTATTACATATTCTTATTCCAACGCTAATTGGAAAGGATGAAAAGCGAGTCTTCAGCTCCTAAAATCTGGAACCTGGAATCACACAATCCTACAGAAAAGTCTGTACTACTTAGGAGGTTAAGCAGTACTCTCCTAATACGTTTGTACTTTTAATAGCCGATTAACTCTTGAACTGATTTTAAGTTGACAATACTCTGCAAAAAATACAATACGTAAAACGGTTCATACATCGAAGGGTATATCCAAAAATTTGAGGTACAACTAATAATATAATAATTCGGGTTTAGTGATGCTCTGACAATACCAGAAGCCCCTGTTGCCATGCAAGTACTGTTCCAGAGATATAGAGATTGTAAAATAGTTTATAGATTATCAATAAGTATTTAATAGAGTCAGTTACGACAAATTGTAACTTCAATGAGAGAAATTGGAATACACGACAAGGATAGACAAACAACAAAACTATTTGTAAAATAATTTTTTTAACCAGCTCTTCTGGCCAAACGCAAAAAAACGCGAATGCTCTAATTATAGGGGAATAACTGTTATCGGCTTAATGGGGAGGTTCTACGGTAGAATAATAAAAAAAAGAATAGAATCAAAATACGGAGACATAGAAGAACAAAATGGATTTCGTGTAGGAAGACCGTACAGTGATGATGGAATATTGTTTGTAGATTTAGAGAAGGCATACGATACGGTACCTTTAAAAAACTGTCTCAAACATTGACGAAAGCAGGTCTCAGTAGAGAGTATGTAGATGCTATCGTAATTCCAATAATAAATGTGCTGAAGTAAGGAAGTTGTCTTTTTCCGACCTTATTTAAAATATATATTCAATCATTGCTAGAGCAGTGGAGGAAACAAGTATCCAAGACATGGGAATAGACATAGGCGATGGTAAATGTCTAATAACTTTATTTTTCGCTGATGATCAGGTAGTCGTAGCGAATTATGGAGAAGACATGAACTACATGTTTAGAAAACTAAAGAAAGAATATGAAAAATGGGGCCTCAATATGAACATCTCAAAGACAGAGTATCTTAAAATAGAAGATGATGATGAAGATCCAGAGTTAATGGTCAGAAACACAAAAGCATGCAATGAATATAAATATCTTGGATCTATAATATCTAAAGAAGGCATTACCAAAAGAGACATCGAAAACAAAACGCAGCACGTGCTTTTTCTTGCCATACTCAAGCGGTGGAGAGATGTATTAAGCTAATTACTGATGTATCAATAAAAAAAAAATAAAGTAAGTTACAATACTATGCTTCAAGAACTGAGTAAGTAAAAATGTTAAACAAACTTGGTTGAATGGGTGGAACTCGTTGTGCAGCTACCTCCTCGAGGTGAGTTCTGAGTTGAATCAATATACTGAATAATGATGAATATTTACATAAAATTTTAAAGTGAAGAACTTTTCGTGCTGGATATGGATTCAAGTTTAATAAATATGCATTTTTTACCCCTCTTTTACATTTTTAGTCCTGGGGCCGGTTTTTTTAAGATCATGATGAAACTTTTTTAACGAGATAATAGCATCAATATTAATATTTTGGACAAATAAAGTAATTACATTTATTTTTAGGCACCGGCCTGATCGAAAATAATTGATTTTGGTCTGGTTTTGATACAGAGTATTAAAATAACCATATACAACGTTTTCTTTAGTAGTTCGTTTAAGTTTTCCCAAAAAAAATATTTTGCAATTTTTTAAGCGGGCTAATACGCGCATCAAAACAAGGTTACGGTCCAGACTTCTCGCTGATGTTTCTTTGTCGTCATAAGAAAAGCTGAGCATGGTGTGTAGTGAAGTTTCATTTAGGCCTTCTTATCTAAACTATGTACTTTCTGTTGACCAAGTACGAGGATAGCTTATATATAATAGACTATATATAATAGTCCAAATCCAAATTTAGCTTCTGGTGTAATTTCTTATTGTTTTCATCTCTTTCTTCAGCCTAACTTATATTACTCTCTCAGCAATCTTGCTTATCGATGATAATAATCTGATGTGCCAGTTGTTTTAAAGAAATATTCTGTATAAAACTTAAGAGGTCGCTGGTTAATTGATATTAGATAAATAATAATGAAAAAAACATACAATATTTGTTTGTAAATAAATTAGCGAAAAATGGCAACTATCAATTGTGAATAAATTACGAAATTAACTGGTCTCACTCATTATTGTTGTCTGTATAAAGAATATAGACTTACCCTCTGAAATATTGATGTCGTAAGATTCTTAGCCAGGGAAATCTCGTTGGTACCACGTCGGGACGCCCGCTGAAGCTCGATAGCATGAGAACGATTACTGGTCTATTTCGCTCGCTGTCTTGTGATGAAGTCCTGAGATCGTCAGGTCAGAAAAGAACCCTCTAACCGTTATACGTGGTGGTCTCTATATCAAGAGGGTATACCAACAAATCACTCTATTGTATTGCGATTTAGAATGCTGAACATTTACGTTAATTGTCACGGTAATACGAAACTTTACACTTGTTTCTATATTTGTGACACAAAATACAAAGAAGAAAGCCCAATTTTCCGTACTTAAAACATAATAAATAAGACCTCCAGTTTACCAATTTTATGAAATAACGGGAAGCAATATATTTTGATAAAGTCGTTAGAATACAGCATTGAATTAGACCACATTATAGTACAGTAACAGAAAAATATGTGGTACAGGGTTATGCAATTGAACTGTTACCTATTCAAACGACGATATTTTTTTGTGTGAAATTATATTTTATTGATTCAAATGACAAAAATGTGTGAAATAATCAAAATTTCAGAATCCACTTACTTTAGCTTGGTGTCGCCACCTTTTGCCTTGACTATGGCCTTCAAACGATTAAAAAACGAGTTGCATGCTGCACTAATGTGATCTTTTGTTATTTTTGGCCCATTCACGTATAATTGCTTTCTTCAGCGCATCCATACTGGCATATTTTAGTCCTCACCTTGCTTTCCAAAATGGACCAGATAGAATAGTCTATCGGATTTGCGTCTGGCAAATTCGAAAGCCATTGTGGATGAAATGAAGTGTGAAACATGTTTTTTTACCCATTCTTGGTACACACTAGTCTTGTTGGAACGTCCATGGTCTACAACCAAAATGTTTGGGTGCAAACGGCTCTAAAGCAGCTTCTAAAACATTTTCTCAATAATAAGTTGCATTGACTTTGACACCAGATTCAATAAAAACGATTTGAGAGCGTCCATTGGCGGTTACAGCTGCACATACCATTACTTGACATTGGAAATTACTTCGGGTGGCCGTTCGTAAGCCCAAACTATAAGTTATATCGTAGGTGCGTTCGGTTAAGTAAACACGATCATTTTAAGGGTTTATGAACTGCTCAATAGGGAAATTTTTCTCATCAGGGAACATTATATTCGGAAATTCTCCACGTTCGCGCAGGCGTAACAACTCCTTTACTCTTTCAAGCAGAACTTTTTTTTGCTTTGGTGTAAGATTGTGTGCTTTTTGGAACTTGTAAGGCTTGACCTTAAGCTCCTTTTTCAATATTAGTTGCATGCTTCGCTGGGATATTTTCAGTTCCTTGGGTATTTGATTACCACTACGACGTGGATTTCACTCAAGTCGAGCCTTCACTTTCCGAACGATTTCAGGTGATGTTGCGGTTTTTTTTCGTTCACCACATAACGTTTGGCAATGCTACCAGTATCAATATAACGAGTTATGGTGCGATACACTAACATTTTATTCACTTTGATGTGTTTGAGCTGACGAATAACAGCTGGTTGTGATTTTTCAGCCAAATATAAGGCAATCACACTATTACGTTTAAATTCCATTGCAAATAACTTTTGTTGTATGTATAAAACTTAAATGCAAATACTTTTGACAGCTTATAAACATACTGAAGTGTTATCAGGCCAACTTTGACGTAGCTGTCATTATCGATTTGCCAGATATATCGATGCAAAGTTGGTAATAGTTCAATTGCGTAACCCTGTACATAATTTCCCAAACAAGAAAGGTGCTGTTTTTTCTAGTTTTAGACATCTTAAACGGATTTAATCTTTTTAGTTTTACCTTTAAAATGCTTCTTATTTCCAGTTATTATAATTAAACGTTCAGTTGTATTTAGCTTTTTTTATTTTCAAAACCAGATTAGTAGATTTGCTGTTGCCCAAATTTTTTAATATTTAAGTAAATATGGATATAGGTAAATATAATTATAAATTATTTTGTTTAATTACATATAATTTACAAAAAATCATATTTTTGAAAATGTCTGATTAAAACTAATGAAACTTTTCTAAATTTCTCTTCATTTGGGTTGAACAATGACTTGTAACCATCGGTGCCTTCCTCACTTAAATATTCACAAACGTTTGTAGCACCCTGTAGTAAAAAAAATAAAGTTAATAGAAAACTAGTAAAATAATGATGTATGTATGTATCTTAGAAATCCTGCCAACCATATATCTAATCGCCGCGGTGAGTATGACATACTGATGACGTGTGGGGTAGAAAGGTAGGAGGCAGTACGGTAGTTCTATAGAAAGATAGTTTATTTATATATCTAGTAATTATTAACCTTACACCTGTTGTTGTGAATCTCCTTTACTTCTCACATCTCATTTTGCACTGCTACTTTCACGGACGACCTGCTCGTCTACGAATCACGAATTCTACCAATCAGCTCGTTTATGGGCGATATCCAAATACCGATATATTTGAGAGAATATTGTACCACAATAAAAATATTACAAATATTATTAAAAATTCGAAAGAAATTTATCTCCTTATAGTGTAAGAACAAAAATATCTAAACATTGGAATACTAAACCAGCGAAAGGCAGACGGAATCGCTGAATATCTACCCAACCAGCATCAAAAATTAAAGTCTAGACATGACAAAATGCTTTTGCTGTATACAGGGATCATATAACGGGCCATAGAAAATTCATTTTTATTTTTCTGATATTTGACAATATTTGATTTGCCAACATTTTTATTTTGTGATTTATTGTTTAAAAAACAATATAGTTGATTAAAAAATGTATTCAGTTGAGGAGAAAGTAGCAATAATATAGATGTTTTATTCAGGCATAATAAATTTACAGGTATTGAAGCATTAAAAATGAGAATTATTGAAGAGTGTGCAAAAACAACTCCACGCATTCTGGCTAATGTTAAGACGAGAACTTTACAATCGAGTGGGATACTGCTTAGTACAAAATGGCTAGTTTTATGTTTAGAAATTATCATAAATTATTATTAGGAAAGATCACAGTAAAACTATATTGAAATTCTTTGAATTGTTGTATAACCTGGAATTGGATTGGAGAGTATTATGATTGTGAAACATGGGTGGTGACACTGAAATCTGCCAATGCATTAGATGTGTTTGAAAGAAAAATATTACGTAGGATACTTGGCCCAATAAGTGAAAACAACAACTGGCGAATTAGGTATAATAGAGAAATATACGAGCAATATAGCGAACCAACTCTAGCACAAAACCAAAGAATGCAGGGAAAAAGACCTGTTGGAAGACCTAAAAAGAGATGAGAAGACGAAGTCGATGAGGATGCCAGGAACTACCTGGGAAATGGAAATGATTGGAGAAGCTTGTTGAAGGAGGCCAAGGCCCGATTTGGGCTGTAGTGCCGTTGGACGGATGGTATTATGATATCTTGTGTTAAATAAAAATCTGGCAATGCTTGCACTACTGCCTGAGTACATTATTGCGATTTTTCATGAACTGAATACATTTATTCAATACATCAATTTTATTGCTTTGTAAACAATATAATTTGTTGTTTACAAAGTACAATTTATTGTTTACTAGTAGTAGTAGTATTTGTAAAAATTTGCGTATTTTAGTATTTTGGGACACCAAAGTGAGATTCATTAAAAACCGACGTGCTACGACGTTGAAACTCATTAAACCAATTTTTGACGGTTACCATTGAAGAAGAAGTGTCACTGTACACAAAATTGCAGCCCTCTTTAATTTCGCTGGGCGATTTCTCTTTCAAAAACAAGAATCGAATCACCGACCCATACTGCTCTTTTTCTATTTTTCTAAAAAACGCGGACACTACGAGGTTGATTCGGCTTAAATACCGCAAATAGAGTAAAGTACTTATCGATACGTATTTTGCTTTGCGACATATTATAACATCTTACAAGTTAGGATATAAATTTTCTCTTTCTATTAATTGAAATCGTAAACTCGGGCATAAGTTTAAACATATTTTATAAAATAAAAAGTAGAACCAAAGTAATACCTTGTCTTTGTCTGTACATATAATTGACAACCCTGATAAGCCTGCTATTAGACCATACAAAACATATTTCTTCCATTCCTCCTTAAATGCCTTGTACGTCAAAATCTCTTCTGGATTACAACCATACTGCTTTAATGTATCCGTAACGCTTTTATAATAAACTTGGTGCAAGTACTCTAGATTATCAAGAGCTTCAGGTGATGCTCCAGTATATAAAGTGTAGCTAATATCTACTACGGGTGTAGCAATGTTGCTTTCTTGAAAATCAATTATTTTTATATCTTTCAGTTGTCGTTTGTCCTAAAAATAATTTATTATTACAATATTTATTTTATTTTATCCACTTTGAAAATAAAATTGTGTATATATTAAAAAAAAAAGGAAGAACAATTAAGTCTATTATAAATTGGCTTTCCGGTTGGAACTTATTTCCAAAATAAAAAGTTAAATTTTTTGTAATAAGAATTACATTTTAACTAAAATTGACGTTTCGGAAATCGTTTTCACAAAAGATAATTTAGAAACGCAATCGGTATAATATACTAAGGATGGAGCCCGTTGGTATTTTTACATATAGCTGATAGACGACGGTACTGACGTCATACTATGGCCGACGTGAATTTGACAGATGATTAATTAGTTCCCGATATTTTAATGTTAAACAGGCATGGACGTATAAACATAGATGGACACAGCAATAAGATACCTTTAACACACAATTTTTTGAAGCTTCGATAGAATGTGATGCTTCCGCAATGAGCATAAGCGTGCCTGAATTTTTACTCGCGGGTAATTATTCAGATTTTAAAAATTGGAAGTAGTAATAATGTATAAAAACACGTTCAAAGAATTTTAAAAAAACGAGAGTTTAACTATTAACAAATCACGTCTTTATAGAAAAATTAAAATACAATTTTATTTGCTTTAAAATTAATACAATAAAATATAGTTGAATTCAAGTTAATTTTTAAAAGGTATCAAAATAATGCTACAATAAAAAATCTTTATGTTTTCTCCTAAATTTGCTACCAAAATAGTTCGATCGTCAATATTATTTGGAAACCTATATAGAAAAATAAATGGGTTTTATTCATTTCACTAATTTATTTGCATCCATGAGAAATATTAAATTAAAAAGGTACTAAATAGATCTTTTTTAGTCAGATGATGTCTACTTACAATTAAAAAATGTCTACTAATTTCATGAACTTATATCTTATTTAATACATTAATGAACATGAATAAACCCAATGGTACGCCTATTAAAATGTAAACAAACACGCTTCCTCATTTCCTCATCTTAAATAATGTAAATTTTATGTACTAACAAATGAAATAAGAGATCGGGATGTAAATATTTCGTTTATTTTATTTCACTTTTCACAAATATCACTAAAATACAGCCAAAATATCGAAAAACAACTTTCACTAAAAAGTAAACGAACATGGAACAGCATTTGAAGTTTGACGTAGATCCATAAGACAGAGAAATGTAAACAACCGTTGCCATTTATAAATAGTTTTCAGTGCTTCTACATATAAAATAATTGATTGATATCTAAATCATACGTTATTATTAAATGATAATGCACACTATGTGCACACATATTTTGATTACAATTAAATATATTAATCTAACCAATAAATTATTATTTTGGTTTGATAGCACCTGTAGAGTATAAAATACAGAGTAATATTTTCAGCGACTCGCGAATAAGAAATTTTAAAACAAAACGTGACAACAGTTGAAGGTGCTGAGAATGTGACCTATTCAAACAATTTTGACTTCACAATTTTATGTAAATAACTGAGTCCATCTGTGTTTATACGTCCATGTAAACAGGTAACATTGTGCATTAGGCGTTTGTGTATGTGTGTTCGTCTAATTGTGTTTTATGCGTTGTGTGTTGTATATGTAGTGTGTATGACTGTCAACGATGTATCTAAAGTTTTTTAAACTGATATTTAGCCCAGGCTGTGGGGGAAAATCACTCTCTAATCCAGGAATTTATGTAATGTGGCCTAGGTTATAAAGGGTAATCTCAGGAGTAATCCCCCAGTTCATTCAACAAAAAATGTTTGGTTATTATTTATTTATGAGCGTTTATAGGGGCATTTTCTGAGTTTTTTTCATTTTTTGCCCAAAGTATAATGTCCGTTTGTACATAGTTGACACTCTTACCACTGCACCAAATAAAGGTAGTTGCCAATATAGCGGTTTAGTTAACTGTTAAATTGGTAAATTCATTTGTTTATCAATGTTTATCAAGGGGCACAAATCACTGATTAATAAACACCTACAAAAACGTAATTTCTTAATTTATAATATATTTTTGAAAGCGATCTCAATATTTTTATGCGGTTCAGAAACTTGAACTCTTCAACGGACAAAAGTTTCTATTCTTAACCAACTTAACATCAGACGATCACCGACGGTCCCTCCAAATTTAGAATTTGATGGACCACTTATTCTGCGAAACATTTAGAGCAGTTGAAGATAGAGTTCAAATAAGAAAATTGGTGAGTAGTATTAGACTAAATCAAGATTTTCTTCTGACTACAAGAAGTTTTCTTGTGAACACAAGATTAGAAGTACCGCTAGTTTAAATACAGATATCCCACACCACTCCATATTATAGTAAACAGTTATAAAATTCAAAGAGATATATAATGACCGTTTGTACATAGTTGACACTCTTGCCACTGCACCAAATAAAGATAGTAGCCAATATAACGGTTTAGTTACCTGCTAAATTGGCAAATTGATTTGTTTATCAATGTTTATGAAGTGGCACAAATCACTGATTAATAAACACCTACAAAAACATAATTTCTTAATTTATAATATATTTTTGAAAGCGATTTCTTAATTTTTAATCGAAATTCAAAAACAAATGTAAAATGTAATTTTCTTTAAAATCAATTGTGGTTGAATCCAAATAAGTACCGTATTAAAAAAAAATAATTTCAAAACCTCTTTGTCTTCTTAAGTTTTGTTCTCTTACTTTTTTGAAAATTACAACTAACTACTATACCACAATACAACACTAGAAATTATATTATTCAATATAAGGTTGAATGTTCGAATAATTAAACTTTGAGGGTATACAAGGCAACTATCGAACACGGTGATTAATTTAATCTTGCCCAAGTACTTTCGATCAATAGATCATCTTCAGGGGCATCTGAAATAAGCCAAGAAATGTTTTTTATAAAAAAGGAAAATTAATTCACTTGGATAAAAAACTCCAAGTTTATGGTTGAAAAAATTTTTATGTGATAAACGTTTATAGACTTACTTCGTTAATTGTGGCCTATCCTGACATGAGTAGAATGTCATAAATGTAAAATTTGGACATAACAATACAAAATACAATACACAAAGACAAACAAACACCTTAAAATTTTAAGGAGAAGCTACATGTTGTGTAGAAGCCGGAGACAGAATGGGCTCCCGGTCTGACGGAAATATTGAGATGACATGTGACAAATGACAGCTTGTAAAGGGCAGTTATGTGATCTGCACCGTTCAAAATTCTATGAAACTAAGTATTGACCAAAGGTCCAACTGACACCACTATAGGAAATCAACTGATGAAATATAAAATTATATAGTATATTTTTTATGTAGATTGAATAATCCCAATCTCACACTCAAACCTGTCTATAATAATTAGGATGTTAGTTTGAGAGCAATTGAAGTAGACATAAAGTATGAATGTAAGAAAAGACTAACAATATATTAGACAGTGGATGGTTGACTACAATAAAATGGTCCACAAGCGCTATCAGTACTGTAAAAAAGAAAAATCTGAATATGCAGTTAAATTACTAAAAGTTAAAATCAAAATTGAAGACAAAATATATAAATGAGTTATAATCCAAGTACTTCAGTTGAATCCACAGTCAATGGAAGAAATTTAAAATTAATATTGAAATGCTCAGTGCATGAAGTCTAAACAGTCGAGCTGGGTCCTCTACGAGGTGAAGCTGTAATAAAGTTTTTAAATATAGGATTAAATTTAGTACAATTTAAATTAATTTGAGTATTAAGACAGTGAGAGTTTTCATTTGTTTCCCTTGTAATCTCCAAATCTTCCAATAAATCCAACTCAAGATAGTTTTTCTTTCTGCTAATGTCATGTAAGATAGATGAACCAGAATTGATGTTAAAATTGTGGTTGCTGGATACTAAGTGTTGACCAAAACTTGAAGAATTTGGTCTTTTCAAATGTTCAGAGACTCTAGTGGATAACTTTCTGATGGTTCTACCTACATAAGAGGCATCACAATCATCACATTTTAATTTGTAAATACCACTTTTATCAAGTGTATTCATCCTATCTTTGGTATTGATTAAGAAGGAACCTAAAGTGTTATGTGATTTAAAGGAAATTTTAATGTTATCAATTGTAGAAGTAAAAAGTTTGGATATTTTATTGGAAATGCTACTAATATAAGTGAAGAAGAAATATCTGATGTTATCTGAAGCATTCGGTTGAAAAAACTGTGAAGAATATGCAAGCTTTTCTGCAATTTTTAGTTTAGTTTAGTTTAGTTTATATACAAACTTCTAAATACTTCTAAATAGAACTAAACTAAAAATTGCAGAAAAGCTTGCATATTCTTCACAGTTTTTTCAACCGAATGCTTCAGATAACATCAGATATTTCTCCTTCACTTATATTAGTAGCATTTCCAATAAAATATCCAAACTTTTTACTTCTACAATTGATAACATCAAAATTTCCTTTTAAATCACATAACACTTTAGGTTATCTAACATCCTAATTATTATAGACAGGTTTGAGAGTGAGATTGGGATTATTCAATCTACATAAAAAATATACTATATAATTTTATACTTCATCAGTTGATTTCCTATAGTGGTGTCAGTTGGACCTTTGGTCAATACTTAGTTTCATAGAATTTTGAAAGGTGCAGATCACATAACTGCCCTTCACAAGCTGTCATTTGTCACATGTCATCTCAATATTTCCGTCAGACCGGGGAGCCCATTCTGTCTCCGACTTCTATACAACATGTAGCTTCTCCTTAAAATTTTAAAGTGTTTGTTTGTCTTTGTGTATTGTATTTTGTATTGTTATGTCCAAATTTTACATTTATGACATTCTACTCATGTCAGGATAGGCCACAATTGACGAAGTAAGTCTATAAACGTTTATCACATATAAAAATTTTTTCAACTATAAACTTGGAGTTTTTTATCCAAGTGAATCAATTTTCCTTTTTTATAAAAAACGTTTCTTGGCTTATTTCAGACGCCCCTGAAGATGATCTATTGATCGAAAGTACTTGGGCATGATTAAATTAATCACCGTGTTCGATAGTTGCCTTGTATACCCTCAAAGTTTAATTATATTATTATTTAAACACATTAATTTCCTTACAAAAATACTTACATTATACTTAAATAAAATATTATTGCTCCAAGCATCACCATGAATAAAAACTATGTTTGGGCCTCTATCTTCCAAGGCTTCCTGTATTATTTTTTTACAGTTATCCTTATGAATTTTGAGTTTTTTACTTGCGTCTATTTCGTTTTCCTCTTTCAAATACTGCTCAACTTTTTCGATTATATTTTTAAGATCAGTTATAAACTTATCTACAAGGATAAAAATTAAACTGTTATACTCCAGTAGTTAGAGACGAAAATGTCTACGAACCCCGAAAAAATCATACAACCAAGCTGAATTTTGCTAAGAATGACAATGAAGTTTTGCAAAAAATATTTAAAAAAATTGTATTTTAGTAGTTTTAATGTCGTATGACATTTAAACCTACCTAACCTAACCTACCTTTTTGCCTAACCTACCTACCTAGCTTTTTGCCTAACCTATCTAACCTAACCTAACCTAACTAAGATGATGGCATCAATACCCAACAATAGAGTCAGGAACATCGGTCCCTAATTCACGGTTGATAACTCTACCTTTGAAGTGGTGGACAAATTCACATACTTAGGCTCCCTGATCACCAAAGAGAACGCCATAACGAAAGAAATCAAGCGAAAGTTACTAATGGCAAACAGATGCTATTTTGGACTGAGTAGACATATGAGAAGTAGAAACTTAAGCCAAAAAACAAAAATAACCATATACAAAACCCTTATACAGCCAGTGTTGACATATGGATCGGAGACATGGACCATCTCCAAGGCAGACGAAGACCTTCTGCTTATATTTGAATGAAGGATCCTGAGAGGAATATTTGGTGGCATCTGTAAAAAATGGTGTTTGGAGGAGGAGATCCAACTACGAGGTATACCAAAGATATAAACAAATATTTGGTGGTAAAGACGTAGTATCTCTTATAAGAATAGGAAGACTAAGATGGGCAGGGACATCTAGCAAGATCACAGCAGAACAACCCTCCTAGAATAATCCTTATGTCACAAACCGTGGGAAGTAGAAAAAGGGGTAGGCCAAAACTCAGATGGAAGGATGGTGTAGATGAGGATGGTAGAAAGATGGGCGCAGCAAACTGGCAACGGTTGGCAATGGATAGGACTGCCTGGCATAATAGACTTGTGAAGGTCGAGGCTCTTTCATAGGGCTGTAGCACCATTGATGATGATGATAATGACCTTTTTGCCATTTTTGGATTTGTTCCAACGCCAATTTCATCTTTAACCCTGTTTCAAGTAGCTAGTGTCGATACACACTTATTGATTCTGTTTTTTCTTTTTACGTAGACATGACTCTGTCTGTTTTTCAATGTACTTCTAGTAAGTTGTCGTTCCATTGTTTTTGTAGTCTTTCTACTGATCGTCTTCCTATTGGGGACATTCTCTTGCCGTATTTACTACCTACTCTATTTGTCGTCATTCGGCTTATATGATCGTTCCATTCTACCCTTCTTTTTTTTTACCCCACCATTGTGGAGTGCTTTACCATTAATTTTTCTAAGTGTTTTCATCTCTTTTTCTTCCTAATCGAACCACGAGATACGACAGCGTCCCAGTTCTCTCCTGCCAAATACTTTACCCTGCATAACGAGTTAATGAATTAGATATTTTTCTTCGTTTTGCATTACGTGACCCAGATACTCAAGCTTACTAAGTTAGTAATTTTACTAAATTAAGCACTTCTTTTTCTTTTGTCATGCGCTGTAGAACCTCAACATTGGTGATATGGTCCACATACGATATTTTTAGTATTTTCCTGTAGATCCACATCTCGAAGGCTTCAATCCACTTTTCAGTAGCTTGCGTCAGTGTCTAGGCTTCAACTCTATATAGTACCACTAGAAGAATGTAGCACCTTACTATCCGCATCTTAGTTCCCAAACCGAGAACACTGCAGCACAGCAAGAATCTCAACTTGATAAATGTAGACCGTGCCATTTCAATTCTGGATCTATTTTTTTGAGCGTAGTCCAATTGTGAATTGAAGGTAGTTCCGAGGTAAGTGAATCTGTCGACTCTTTGGATCTCCTTGCTATCTGCCATTAGTGCCCCAAGATCTAAATTTGCACGGCTGACAACCATGAATTTAGTTTTCTTTTTAGGGTCTAGTCCGTATGTTGCGCTTACAGTTCTCACTCGGTCTAGTAAGGCTTGTAGATCATTTAGTCTGGTTGCTAGTATAATCGGCATAGTGTCTAGTATTGACGACCCTCTCATGCAATTTATTTCTGAAAGGTTACCTCGGTAGTTCCAGAAAAGTTCTTCGATGTACATTTTCCAGGTCACCAACTTCTCCTTAACTGCCTTCGCCAGGTTCCTGTATTTGTTTATGAATATTTATACGATCGTGTTTCACATGGAGCTCTTCGATTAGTTTACATTTTTCTTGCATCCATGTCTCCTTGGCTTTTTTGGGTTTTTTTAATGAGTTTTTTAATTAGTTTGGTTCATTTCTTGGTATTTCTGCGCGTCTCTGTTTTTCATTAATCTCCTTTGGCCCATCATCTGTAGAATGTCATCTGTCATCCATTCTTTATTTTTTACTCTTATTTTCTTTTCCATATTATGTTCTTTTCCCGCATTTAGCATGACTTCTTTGATATAACTTCATTTTTGTGCTACACTCTGTTCTTGTTGTTTAGCGATTTCTAGTTTTTCTCTTATTATATCTCTTACGTTCTGAACTACGGGGTCTTTAGAGTGTCATAATACAGGTTATGTTTAGGTTTACTTTTGGTGAGTTTCTTTAGTTTGAGTTCTATCCGGCCCACTAATGGGTTGTCGTCCGATGAGACGTCTGCTCCTGGGAATGTCTTCACCGAAGTCAAGCTGTTCTCGAATCTTTTGTAAATAAATATAAAGTCTATCTGGTTTCTGGTGATATTGTTGGCTGTATCTGCAGTTGATTTTCACGAATAAAGTCGTCTCGGAGGAAGTCTAAACCAGGTGTTAACAATAGTAAAATCTTCTTCCCGACAAAATTGGATAATTTGGTCTCCCCATTGCTTTTTTCGCCTAAGCCATGTTGTTTAACGACGTCTTTTATTCTGCTTTGGTCAAATTTGGCATTGAAATCACCCATGATGATAATAAGGTCCTTCTTGGTATATTTTAGTGATTTTTGTACATGTATGTAGAACTCCTCAAAGTCCTCTTCTGACTTTTTAGATATTCTAGCGTAAATTTGAATACGTAGTTCGACCATATTGGAGGCTTTTATAGTTTTCTTTGGTAAGATTTAAAATCTTACCAAAATGTTAGTTGCTCTTTTCTAGGTTTATTGTTTTTTATTACTGCTTGAAGTGTTTTAGGTGTAATATAGCTGCTTTATATCATTTCATCATTCATTTTTATTTATTCACGTACTACTTCTCTGTGATGTGGTAGAACTATATTTCTTTTATAATCTACATACTTATCTTGTCGCATTTTGTTCCTTACTAGGCCTCTAGATGTCATCATTATTCTTAATAGAATTCTGCATAATTCGCTGGTTACGCCAATCACTGTGGGTAGATAAACCAGGAACATGATTAGAATTCATAGTCTATACATGTTTCACTAGTATATACTTAGACAAAATGTATTTTTCGACATTATAGTCAAGAAGGCGCTTCCCATAATGAATCTTTGACCTGAATCTATCAAGTACTATGTCCTCTTTTAGTGCAAGTCCCTAAAGGACAATATAATGCCACAAAGCTTACTATATTATTTTTTAAGCCTACCTTAACAGCTGTGGCCTGAAACACTGCTGTTTGATTTTCCATGTTTTGATAGTGTCTAAATAGTCCTTTTATAGTCATTGCTTCACACCTTTTTGTCTCATTTTCTGGTTCTATTTTATGATATATTTTGGATCCTCGGAACCGTATATTTAATTATATATTACACTTTTTATACAAAATTTTTACTTGTGGTATGCCAACAACACTATACATATCCAGTAAAAAATTCGAAAAAGTAAAAAAAAAGTTTGTAAAAGAATAATTTAAAATAGACTCAAAGTTTAACAGTTGCTATCTGTTCACAGCTACACATTCAATCTGTCACATACACAGACACATACATGAGTTCATCCCAACCCCTAGGAAGATGAGTGTACCATCCCATTGCTAGTCAGTAGGACCCCCATGACCAAAGATCAGACCGGTCTCGTTCCAAAAGAGAAAATCATTTTGGCACGGTACTAGCTTTTCTCCCTATTTATATATATATATATATATATATATATATATATATATATATATATAATATATATATATATATATATATATATATATACAGGGTGGTCCTTAAGTAATTGTACAAAAAGAAACCGTAGATTCTACACTTTAAAATATTAGGATTTAAGTCAAGTTGCTTTAATAAAATGTTAATATTAAGAAAGATACAGGGTGTTAAAGTAGAAATTTAAAATTTTATTTTTTGCTATAACTTTTATGTTTGTCAACATTTATGTATAAAAATTTACAACTGGATAGTATTAAATATCAGAAATTTTAATTTGATGTACACTTTGATGTATCTGATAGAGGGCGCCACATATGCCACATACGTGGCATATATTTGCACTTAAATTTTTTGCTACTCAAGTTTATGGGTATTTTTATTAAAAAATATTAAAGATACATTATTTTAACAAAAAAAAGGTATACTTCTTAATATCCTCAAAACTCAACAGTTTTCGAGATAATCGCATTTTAGAAATCAACTACATAATTCTGATTTATTTTAATTACTCCAGACAACGAAAGAAAATTAAAGAAATACCTCAATACTTCTGAATTTTGGTATAAAATACCTTTAATAAAGTTAATAGTTAACGAATTATTAAATAAAATAAATATATCAGCAGGATAAAATAACAGCATTTGATAAATAACAGAATAATTGGATTTTTACATCAAACATTTTACGTTTTGTATTAAATTAAAGGCATAATCAAAACACTTTATTTACAAACCAAATTAAGAAATAGTTAAACTAAATAACGTTGAACTTTTTGTCAAAGTAAGTTTTTAATATGTCCACCATTTTCTTTAATTCATTTGTCAATACATTCCATAAAATATCGTCTCATATTAAATAGCATCATTGGTTCTAAAGAAACTGCTGCAGTATTTATTATAAGTGTTATACGTATAATAATAAGTAATTTTTTGAAATTTTTATGAATTAAATAATTATATTAATATCTCACCACAAGAATATGACTATCACGAACAATCCAACGTTCAGGAAAGTTGTTTTTAAACACTGTCTCACTCCACTTTCTCTTTAACGTAATGGTGTACCATTTTGTAGAAACCACATATTTCGCCTTAAGTTTGATGACAATTCTTTGAATAAATCAATAAAATAATTTTATAAAAAATGTAAATAAATCTCGACATTCAAATTGCAAAGTAATTCGCATATCCGTAAAAAATAATTACCAATGGGTCCAAACCATATGACATGCATTTTAAATATGAATTTTAAATGATATTTTATAGATATGCGAATTACCTTGCAATTTGGATGGTTAGATTTATTTAGATTTTTATAAAATGATTTTATTGATTTATTGGAAGAATTGTCATCAAATATAAGGCTAAATATTTGGTTTATGCAAGATGGTACACCAATACATTACAGAGAAGGGGGGGTGAGAGTATTTAAAAAAAACTTTCCTGAACGTTGGATTGTTCGTGATAGTCATATTCCTTGATTATGTGGTAAGATATTAATATAATTATTTAATTCATAAAAATCCCAAAAGAATACCTATTGTTATACTTATAATAAGTACTGCAGCTGTTTCTTTAGAACCAATGATGCTATTTAATATGAGACAATATTTTACAGAATGTATTAACAAATGAATTAAAGAAAATGGTGGACATATCGAACACTTACTTTGACAAAAAGTTTAATGTTATTTAGTTTAACAATTTCTTAATTTGGTTTGTAAACAAAATGTTTTGATTATGACTTTAATTTAATACAAAACGTAAAATGTTTGATTTAAAATCCAATTATTCTGTTATTTTATCGAATGCTATTATTAATTATCCTGCTGATATACTTATTTTATTTAATATTTCGTTAACTATTAACTTTATTAAAGGAATTTTATAACAAAATTTAGAAGTATTGATGTTTTTATCTATTTTTCTTTCATTGCCTGGAGTAATTGCGTTAAATCAGAATTATGCAGTTGATTTGTAAAATGCGATTATCTCGAAAACTGTTGAGTTTTGAAGTTATTAACAAGTATACCTTTTCTTTGTTAAAATAATGTATCTTTAATATTTTTTATCAAAAATACCGCTAACTTGAAGAACAAAAAAGTTAAGTGCAAATGTATGCCACGTATGTGGTATATGTGGCGCCCTCTATTGGCTATATCAAAGTATGCATCAAATTATAATTTCTAATACTAAATAGTAGCCAGTTGTAAATTTTTATACATAAATGTTTACAAACATGAAAGTTATAGCGAAAAATAAAATTTTAAATTTCCACTTTAACACCCTGTATCTTTTTTAATATCAACATTTTATTAAAGCAAGTTGACTTAAATCGTGATATTTTAAAGCGTAAAATCTGCGGTTTCTTTTTGTACAATTACTTAAGGACCACCCTGTATATATATATATATATATATATATATATATATATATATATATATATATATATATATATATATATATATATATAGATATATATATATATAAGGATCACTCAGACGAGTGGTGGGTTCTTATATCGGTCTCTAGGTGGAGAAATAAAAGACAAAGTTGATAGGCTACTTTATCTATTTTGAAGACGTTTCGCTTTCGAGTTTTGAAAGCATCATCAGTTCATCTAAAAAATTATTACAATATGAGAACCACACAATCATGGAAACGATGTTAATTGTTACCTTAAAAAGATATGTAGCAGTCAATGTTATTAACAAATATGTGAATGAAACTAAGTAAATGGACATAGTACGCTGATCTTGTATAAACAGTTAAGCAACTAACAACATATATGAACTTGTACAAAAATTAGCACAGCAATTGACCATGTGGTCCAAAATAAATTCAATGTTATTTATGTTAATAAGTGAGAAAGAACCAAGAAAATCATAAATAACCTCCAACTATTTAATGGATATTAAACTTTGATTTTAACTTTAGGTAGCATTATAAGTAATATTAATAAAATTCTACAAAATAGTGAATATGAAGTTACCGATCAAAGCCCTATGGATGTCGCCGTGAAAATGGCGTTAGATGAAACAGGAACGAACTAAACCGCAAAAAGACAGCCAACCTTGAGGTCAAAATTACTTTTGACAGATCAACAAGGTGTAAATACCAACCCAGAATTTTGGGCGGTTAATTTAATTTTTTATTTTATAACTGAGTCTGGATGACTACCAGGTTGTAAAGGACACAACAGTGAAAAAAGTTGGTAGTGTAAACACAACTCCCCTCACTAACCGGCCCAAATTTACAAACCGGAGATTTTCGGTTTGAGATTACAAACAGAATATTCTAGTCTAAGCCGCAGATTCATCTAGAATTTTGAACTGCTGCGTTAGACTTTTGTTTTCTGTACACCGAGCTGGGGCTCGATCCCACATCCACTGAACCATTCGACAGTGAAGCGAATGAGAGGCAGCTGCACAGCCCGCTGAGCTATCTGACCGACTATCTTTTCTCCCTATTTACTTTACTGAATTTATTGTTGAGTTGACTTTGGGCTCTGTGTCCCGGAAAATGTGTGTACGATCAGGGGGCCGTTAGATACACTGCCGACCCCCTGCCCGGAAGTTGTGTGCTCGGTCAAACAGTTGCCAATTTGGCAAAACAAGTTTTGGTGTCCTTGCCTTCTGATTGATCGATGGGTTTGGCCATGGAGCCCGTGTATGTCGCACACGACCTTGGTGCTCAGGTTCCGCGATTGCTTAGGGCATATTGTCCTGATGAGCTGTTTTCTAAGGGTCTTTTGCCTGAGGGGTATGACAGAAGGGCCTTTGCCGGAATAGCTTTAGGTACTGTGGATCTGTGTCCATTGAATTGGAGTACTTTATTTATTTAACAGATTTAGTGTTAGTAGGGTTTTTGGTTGAAATTCCGTGTATATGTTTTTTTGGTTTTTTTGTTTTTGATAGTTTTAACTGGTTAGTGCACTTAAAATAACTAAAATAATAAGAAAATAAAATAAAATAAAATAAAGAGTGGTTGATTAGGAGGTAGGGGGCGGGGGTGTGTTGAACTAGGCACTTTTTTTTGTTTTTTGTCAATCAGTGTTGCATCTGTATCCAGCCAGCTGTTGTTTAGGCCGTCTATGTATAGTTTTTAAATTTGGGTCATAGTTAGTCAACTCTTTTATCAAACGGTTTGGATGGTTTCTGAGATTTTCGAAAAGGACATATGCATGTTCGTCCATAATGTTCATTACTCTATTTTCATTTATTCTGTCCAGTGAATCAAAAATAATGGCCGTCGATTATCATACCAATTCGCACTTAGGTGACAAAAGCTCTGGAAAGCTCTTTTGATGTACATCCGTACCAGTCCCTTAGGTTGCGCATTCATGAATAAAAACAGAATGAAGAATTCAAAAGAAAGAGTAATAACTTTTAGGAAGTATTTAATAAACGGAAATATATAAAAATAGGAAATAAGTAAAAGAATAAGAAATATCTCCAGTATCTAAAAAGAAAAGTCTTGACTCGGTAACATAGCTTTCAAACATGCAAAACACAATGATGCAGGAAAAGGTCAAAGTTAAATATAGTTTGGTCAGGGAGATAAAGAAACAGCTGGTTATACAGATCGAGATGAATGGGAACGTCCAAAGCAGGATTATTGAATAATTAAATAATTATATAAACATACTTTAAATATCCAATGATTATTAATAAAACAAATATATACATACCTTGTTGGCTAAATACTTTAAATACATTTTGAAACTGTTGTCCAATTTCAAAAAATTTGTCTTTTTGATAATGTTTAAAAGCATAGCTAACACCATGAAACCTTCCGTACACTTTAAACAAAACTTCACACATTGCAGTATCTAACAACTCTACTTTAGAAGGGAATATTTCATAACCTTGAAAGGACAGGTCCTCAAATATCAATTTCTCTTTAAAAGGTTTTGTAATAGCACCGTAGCATTCAGCCACATTATTAAATACATTAGCACTGTTATATGTTTTTTGAAAATCACTTAGGGCTGGCAAAACAGTTAAATAAAATATTGTTTCGTTTTGAAAATTCAAAGATTCTATTTCAGAAGAAAGTTCACTGTGATCTTGTAATCTTTGCTTTATTATCAATCTTCGCTGTAAACCTGTTTCTTTGTTTTTGGCCAATATAAACAACACGACACTTGAGTAGCCATGACCTACATCATTCCTTTTGATGTCGATTATTTCTATATTATTTGGTTCTTCAGTGAACGCTTTAGCAACAAGTTCAACGGTTTCTATTTCTACAGAAGACATCTTCGGGATGTTTATTTTAGAGCACACATAAGTAACATGATTAGGATGAGTTCTTCTTTTTATGTACCAATTTATATGGTATATAATTTACTGATAATTTTTTTGTGATAACACTATTTAACGTTGATATTTGTTATGAAGTTTACATAGTTCTTTCTATTTGAATAGTATCACGATTAGATAAGACGACGTATAATTGGAGAAAGATGCTTAACTCAAAATATTCTTATTTTTATTCTGTTTATGTATGGATACAGTGCTAGTCAAAAGCTCGTTCTCTCTCTCGTATTTTTTGAACGGTTATTGTTATATTAATGAAATTTGGAAGGAGGTAATAAACAGACGCAGGCTTGTCAACTAGTCATAATAGGTGACCTAAAAGTGACAGGTGACTGTGACAGATAATTTTAAATGGGACCTCACAAAAATTGGTACCTCGTTTGAAAGGTAGTTTGAGTTTAAGCTTGATGAATAAATTAAAGAAATACTAAAATTGTAGCTTCAATTTAATTAATAAATATTTAACAACCAGTTCTTATAGTAAGTGTTCAAAATGTGCTCCATCTACTTCCTGGCAGCAATGCATCATATTTCTAACCTCTTGCCGTACTCGTATGTGTCGGGGCAAATTTCCCTACATTCTTCAACAATTCGTTGTTTCAAAAACTCAATGTTGTCAGGTGCTGTACCGTAAATTTTAGATTTCAAGTATCCCCACAGAAAAAAATCTAATGGTGTGAGGTCTGGTGGCCGAGCTGGCTATTCTATCGTACCTCATAGTCAAATCCATCTATTACGATATTCCTTATCTAGGTAACGTATTACTTCACCATAATGATGCGCAGGAGCACCATCTTATTGAAATTTTATTTCCAAGTTGCCAAATTCATCTGGATTATCCTCCAGAATTTTAAGTATTAATGGTTCAATTGCATTTTGTAACATCTCCAGATACACTTACCGGTTTAAGTTAGTATTGAGAAAGACAGGTCCAACTATGTTTCCCAAAATACCTGCACAAACATTTATTTTTTTTGGAAATTTGGTATATGTTTCACGAACACGTGAGGATTTGTGTCACTTCAATACCTCACATTGTGTGTGTGGACATTTTCATTGCGAGGAAAAGTACTTTCATCACTAAAACAAATTGTTTTTGTGTAATCGGGCTGTTGCTTAATTTTATTGTACATATTTTCACAGAATTCTAGTCTTCGGCCGGGGTCATCATCTAAAAGTTGGTGTTCAATTTTTAATTTGTATGGATGAAATTTGTTTTTAGCCAACACTCGGTGTACTGTCTTTTGACTAATTCCATATATAGATGCAAATTGGGCTATAGAAGAATTAGGGTTCACTATCATTTCTTAAATTATGTTAATTTTTTTGTCATCACTAATTGTCGGTCGACCAGATAGTTTGACATCTTGAACATTACCTATTTGTTTAAACTTCTGAAGATGCTTCCCCAAATAAGCTCTCGATATAGATCAATTGGGACGTAATCGCAAATTACATCTTATTAAAAAGACGTTCTACTGCATGGAAAATATTTTCACATTTGCTGCTACTTTGTCGGCTATAGTACGTACCATTTTGCCGTTATAAAAATTTAAGTCTCGTTAAATACTAATTAAACTAAATATTAACTAAGAACAACTAATTAAAAACAACTTGACCAAACTTGAATAGACCAAACTAAGCCGAAACAGAAACTAATGTCCAGTTGCACCAACAAATTAACGATTGATTTTTTGATTTGGATTCCCCGTTTATTTTGGAATATGTTGCACCAACCATTACTTGATTGGAACCGACTGTTTTTGATCTGTCAAAAGTAACCAACCGATTTTCTACGGTTATTTAAAAAATCGACTGTTTTTAACCTCACTTTTACACTGTTTATATTATTAAAGTATATTTAGCAAAGATTTTTTATTTAAAGTATTATAGATTATAATTTAAAAAAATGGATTTATCATCATCGTCGTTATCGAGTTCATCTTCTGACAATTTGGAAGATATAACGCATATGTTACCAAATATAAGATATGTAAGAGATCGCAATGATTTGTATAATTAATATAATGAAGTTGAATTTAAAGCAAGGTACAGTTGCGGTCACGGAATAGTTTACACCTTACTTTTTATATTGTAATACTGTAAAATTGCAGTGTCGTACGGATTTGATAAATGTCAAAGTCAAAAAATTTCAAAACGTCAATGCTTTCGCGAGTGTTCAACAATAAAATAAAAGTATATTAAACTCTTCCAAAATGGTTAGAATACATTTGAATTATGCGCAAAAAGCAAGAGCAATTGCCAACTCGAAGAAGGTTGGTCACTAAGGCAAGTTGCTGCTGATTTGAACGTGAGTCATATGTGCATATGGAAGATTAAACAAAGATGGGATACTTTTTCACTCTATAGCACGGTTGGGCGGTTCAGGAGGGCAGAAGATTTCCACAGATCAACAGGATGAGATGTTAGTAGATTATTTGAGAGAATCTCCTTTTGCCACAGCTCAAAAGGCAAGAGAAGAGGCAGCGTTTCCAGGCAGTATTCGCACTGCACGTCGAAGAATTAAAGCAAGTGGACTGCTAAATTGTGTAGCTGCACGGAAACTTTTTTGACTGAGGATCACAAGAGGAGACGAGTTGAATTTTGTAATGAATTTATAAACCGCGATGAGAATTTTTGGTCTAGGGTTGTATTTTCCGATGAAAAAGTATTTCAGTCGTATAATAATGGTCGAATAAGAGTTTATAGGCCGAGAAATCATAGGTATGATGAACAGTATACGCATCATTTAAGAAATAGTGGAGGATTCTCTGTCAACGTATGGGGATGGATAAGTGCCGAAGGCCCGGGCGTTTGTTATCATGTAGAGGAGAAGTTAACAGGATTATATTACAAACATATTATTGAGCACACAATGTTGCCATCGGTGATCCAGAGATTCCCCAACAACGACTTTATCTTCCAACATGACAATTTCCCGGTGCATACGAGTAGAATTGTTCGAGAATGGCTAGAAGAAACTGATGTTAATGTTTCTTCCGTGGCCTTCCCGTAGTGCAGACTTTAACCCCGTCGAAAATGTGTGGGCAGAGTTAACAAAGTAACTAAATGAAAGAAACCTTAGACCACGGAATAGAATTGAATTATGGGAAGCAATTGAGCAGGCATGGGAAGAGCTTGTTAACTATAACATGAGGGGATTGGTGCTATCTATGAACAGAAGACTGCAAAATTGTATTGACAAGAATGGGGCTTCCACCAAATATTAATTATTATTTATCATTGTTTATCGTTATTTAATATAAAATAGATTTAAAATAAAATGCATATTAAAAAAAAGACTTCTTTATTTTCGTTATTAAGATCATAATCCATTTTATTCAAAAAACTGTTTTCTATATTTTTCATTTTGTAAAATATTTTGATATTTTAATTTTAATCTACCTATTCTAGCTAGTACACCACTGGCAACGTAACTTTGACGTAAAAGGTGCGTTTAAACGAAGTAAAAATTTAAAAAATGGGCTCCTAGATACGTGAACCTGTAAACTATTCTGTGACCGCAACTGTACATATCAATATTTATCTGAATGACTAGAAATGCATTTTAATTATTTTTAGATATCGAGTAAGCAAGAAAACAGTGTTAGTCCTTTTAGAACGTTTTCATAAACATTTAAGTTATAGGGCAGGATGGAATAATCCTGTGTAAAATAAGAAATAAAATGAATAGAGAAGTGGCTTCCTTTATTTTTCGTCTTAAATACACACTACACACACAAAATTGCAAAAAAACAATGTTATTACAATAGTTCAATGTTCAATTGGATTGGCATAACCTTACAAAACTTTCTTTGTTGACAATCTTTTTGACAGATCACACTCACGATTCGAATGAAATAATCGAAATAATCTGTATTCGTGCAATGTTGCCACGTATAAATTGTCGGTTTGTAAACCAATAGTTTTTTAGAATGGTGCAACTCGTTTGAAAAATAACCATTGATCGTTGATTTAAATCGTCCAATTGACGGTTAGTAAATCAGTTGATTTACAGACTGTTGGTGCAACTGGGCATAAATATTGAGCTATAAATGCTTTTACAAACTAAACACAACTAGAGAATTGACAAACGTCTCTTTTTTTGACAAATAAACAAAGGCGGACGTTAGATTTTTATTTAGACTAAAATTTTAGTATTGATTTAATTTATTCGTCAAAATCATCTTAAATCAAAACAAAATTAGTATGATTAAATAGGTGTACTAAAATAATTGTAGTTTCGCATTTAATTACTAAATATTCTAAAGTTCGCCTCTGGTTAGTTGTCAACAAAGTTATCGTTGACATTATCGTTGACGTTATCGTAAAACAATTAAAGAATTAAAAAACGTCAAGTTTTTGACAAGTAACCAGAGGCGGAGATTTTAATATTTAATAATTAAATGCAAAACTACAATTTTAGTATTTATTTAATTTATTTATTAAAATGATCTTAAGCTCAAACAAAATTATTAGGTATTTTCAGTTACATATTTTCAGATAGACTGAATAGGTATTTTCAATTACTTTTAAACGAGGTATTATCACTTGCCATAAGGTCCTATTTAAAATTATCTGTCACAGTGTTGCTGTAATGTCATCTGTCACTATTACGTCATTTATTATGACTAGTTAGGAAGCCTACGTCTGTTTATTACCTCCATCCAAATTTCACTATATACAGTGGTAGTTAAAAGTCTATTCCCCCCTTGTATCTTCATGATTGCATCTACAAATAATTATGTTCTAAAAAATTCGAAAATTCGATTTTATTTTGACAATATATTTCTATCGTCCGTGTTATGTTGCTACGCTACGAAAATCTTTTTGTTTGTATCTTTACGCCCGTCCGGGCCATAAAGTACACTTTATGCCCGCGTGGGCATAAAGTACACTATTACGTAGTTGGTAACTAAGCAATATCGGAAAAAATACCTATTTTCTAGTATACTCTGTTTTTTAACCAGGAGGAGTAAACCAAAAAGACAGATTTACACCC